TCTCCTTCTGTTCTCCTAGCATTATGAATATTTGCCTTTCACTGCAACGCTGATATCAGTTTTCATTGTCAGAGCTGGAACAAAACCACTCTCTGAAAGGACATGCACGTCAGCAGTATTCCCTGGGCGAGTTGTCACAACTACCAACCTCAGAATTCAACTGACAATGAATAGTTCTGTATTGGAACTGGTAGCATATATTAAATGAAATAAAAAAAATCATAAGAAAAGGGCACTTATGAAGATTCTTCACTTTCAGCAGTCACATAATGAAATGCCCAAACTGTCTTAGTTCATATAACATAGGAGGTTTTATTACTGAATGAGTAGAAACATTGTATATAACGTGTTTTCATATTCAACTGCTTTTCTGAATTTAAGTTCTGAATTCTAACAATTATCACTGTAATAGCCAAAACTGATAACAACTTGTTCTGTGACTAAATACAGCAGGCTGGATGCTTTTCCCGTTAAAATGAGCACAAGGAAACAGGAAAACACAAACACCACCACCCCACCACCACCCCCAAAAAAAACCCCAAAACCAAAACATCAGTGGAAAGCCACATAGCAAGCCTGCCAAATCGATGTAAAATCAAGGGAATGAAGTTAAACCAACAATCAACAGATGAACTCTAATTCATTCGCTGGCACATGCCTTCTCACTCCATTCACCACACCCTGAAGTAAAGCAATGTCAGCTTTCTGTATACAAAATAACTTTCTACCCTAGATGAGTAGTTGATGCGTGCTGCTGAAACAAGTGAGGGTGCTGAGGGCAGGCAGTGTGCTGTGTATTGCAGCAAGGCATATAAAAGGAATGCTCACTGTGTGGCATCTCTACAAGGTAAGGGAAAGAAAGGGTAAACATACCTTGGAGTCTATGTTCCCAGGCAGCTCCTTAGACTTTGGAATATCTTTTTCATAATGTTTTATCCAGAAGAATTTTACTCCCACTCTGTTGGAAACTTGCTTGTGCAGATTTTGTCTCTTCTGCTGCTGAAGAAAAGCTCATGCTCATAGGGACAATTGTCTAGAGCTGTCAATCACCATCTTTGCACCACCTGAGTATTTATGTTGGAGAGACAGCTGATTCCATTCACAGACACCTGGAAAATCCTGACTCTCACCAGCAATACCTTGAACTTCTGAAATGTCCCAGATCAATGTTTTAATGGTTGCTACACATTAGTAAAATATTTCTACTGTGGAACTTCAATACAATCACACCTGTGTCACAGCATCACCGTATGACTGCAGTAAACCTTACTGACATTGACCACCCAAGAAGAAACTCTTTTGTACCAGAGCATCCACTTGAGTCGGAAGCCATATTCAGTCCTTAATATTCACACACAACATTTACAGATACTAATTCAGTACAATATTTTTCATGAAACTTTTAAAAACCCTAAACATGTGACTATCGTAAGATTGAGATTTTAAAAACAGACCACGTAAATTAAAAAAAAAAACCAACTCACTGAAACAGTAAGTCAGGTACTTCGCTCCCCTAAACCCCTTTGAAATTTCCAGGCCAAATGCACAAGTGCAGGATGTATTTTTGAAGTATGAAAAAAGAATCTATCATCCTTCTTCAGCACAGAATTAACTGGACTGGTATTCATTCCACTTTCACTCAAGCATTTATTTTACTGATTTTCCTCAGAAATGGAAGATCACTGCAGCAATCCCTAACTTCTCTATTATTATTTCTGTCCCTTCCACTAAATGGATAATCAAATCCCCTGCTTAAAACTGGGTACAAAGTGAAACATTTTGAGCAGCAGTACTTTGAAAAGGCTTTGGGTTTGGTTTTTTTTTTTTTTGAACTCCAGTCCCAGGTGAGCTCCAGTGATACATTTATGAAATTCTTCCTGTGCAGGGAGCAATAAAAAAAACCTTCCAAGCTATACAATAAGGTAAAAAAAGTACTATAACAACAGACTTCCTGGATTTTGCAAACCATGGAAAATACACACACAAGAGAGAAGAGGACACATTTAGGGGGACTGAGAACCGACTGCAGATTTTAAACCAGCAGAAAAACATTTGCAGAGGGTAAGATCTATTTCTTCTCCCAAACGAATAAATTAGGAGGCATAACTCTTGACAGACCCCAATATCGCCACCAGCACTTTCTTAATCAGTAACTGCACTGCCATTACACCCTTAGAAGAAGCAAGCAGATCCCAGACACTGTGACCCGACTACTGTGACTCTCCAGACACTCATTGCAGGGACCACCTGTATGGCAGCTCACCACCCACCTGAGCTTATTCGCTGTCATCAGTGCCATCCACGCCAGCACTTGTGCTCACACTATTACCCCTGTATCTCAAGCAGCTGCGTTATCAGTACCCTCCACTCCCTCAGTCCTCGTCAATAATTACCTCAGCCCTCTGCAGCCACACCGTAACTCCTTCCCAATCTCCAAAGCAGGCTAACAATTCCCTCTGCCCTCAGTCCCTTCCTGCACATCCCTTGCATGTGTTCCCTGCTACCTTCTTCATCACCTCAGTGGACAAAGCTGGGCCTCCCCTCACAGTGGCCAGAGCCCCCCTGTCTGCAGCGACCAGACCCCATTGGTACCGTCACTCTGTGCCTAAGCCCCCCCATAGTGTCCCCCGCCACCTAAGAGTTCCCCACACGGCCAGGTTTGGAGGTACATCCCCTC